TGCAAGCATTGCACTTTATCTGCATAAATTCCGCCTAGTAGACTGAATTTTCTACTATGGCAGCAGTTTCTTAGCTGCAGATTTGATCAGACTCGAGGTATTCTATGGATTTAGACTCAGTCCATCCCTACTAAGCAACAAATGATTCATTATTTGTTTCTGGGTACAGTAATTCAGTACGACCACTAAAACAACCTACTCCTTTATGCATACTTCCTTAAAATATAGAATCACGATATTTTCATTTTGCTGCTTACTACCTGCTAGCTGTAGCAAGAGGAACCTACCACTATGTGCATAATTTTGTTAAAAGGATTGTGAAACTGGTGTCAGTATGGGCATCGGCTTTTCTCTAGTGGTTGGAATTCTCAGGTTCTGTTGAATGTTAAACTCCTATTCCTGTGTGTTTAAATGACAAATTGACATAGTAATTATCTTTCCTCTTGGTGCCACTACAACATGATATTCATGTTGGCACAAAGCGTCAATGCTCCATCTGTCATAGTAAGAGGGCTCTTTCCTGGCTTATCCATGGTACATTCATGTAGGTCATGATGGCAACTCTTTCCTAGTTTATACATCGTACATTCATATAGGTCGGGATGGCGAATCAGTTTTTTTTTTTTTTTTTGTGGTTGTGACCATTAGTTTTATTTTGGGTATTTTGTATAATGGATATATTTACACACACATATATCTTCTTGTAAGCTATATTATTAATGTTATAATTTGATGTTATCTATAGGGTGTATGATATTAAAATAGACCTAGTTTTTCTTATACATTAGAAACTAAGTTATAAATACAAGATTGTTGTGAAGTGCGTGGACGTTTTAAGAAAATGATAGAGTGAATCCCTCAGTGTGTTAGCTATTGCAGTTACTTTCGGTTAGTTTATTTGATTGTACGTTAGTCCCAGACTGTTAGAAAAGTTTTAATGCCATTTGTATTGTAGGCCTACAACATTTTACGACAGTGTACATGTATTCAACTTTAAGCTTGTAAAATGTTAAAGGATTGTTTTGTTTGTTTGTTTGTTTTTAATTATGCACAAAGCTACACAAGGGCTATCTGTGCTCTGCCCACCACGGGTATCGAAACCCGGTTTCTAGCGTTGTAAGTCCGCAGACATACCGCTGTGCCACTGGGGGGCATGTTAAAGGAGGAAACAAAGTAATTTATTCTCGTCACATGGACTGAATGTGGAATTATTTTTCCCAGATAATTTAAAATAATCCGCCAAAGAAAGAACAACATCGCAACAAAATGTATACAAGATAAAAAAAACAAAAACAAAGAACGTAGTATTTACATGTAAGCTCTCAGATTTAATTATTTATCATATCTAGATAAGCATTATTTAAAAACTCTTTGAATTTTAATTCTCTGTTTGGTATTTGAGATGAAAGGATTGTTTTTTTAAGTTAAGCACAAAGCTACACAATGTGCTATCTGTGCTCTTCCCGCCACGGGTATTAAAACCCGGATTCTAACGTTGTAAATCCGCAGACATGCCGCTGCGCTACTGGGGGGCGAGATGAAAGCAATAAAAAATCAACACAAAAATAAATAATTTATAAGTGAGTATAATATTTGGTGGTACTAAGAAACAACAGTTTTCGAAAATAGCTTTTCACTTTGTCGAGGAATTGGTATAACCTGGTGATAAGGGCACTCGGCTCGCAATCTGCGGGGACCTGGAATCAAAATCAGTAACCAAACATGCTTAACCTTTCAGCCATTATAATGCGACGGTCAATCACATTATTTGTTAGTAAAGAGTATCTGGTGGGTAGCGCTGATTATCTGCTTTCCATCTAGTCTATTATTTCAAACATAGGGACGGTTAATGCAGATAGCTCTCAAGTAGTTTTCGCGATATTTACAAACTCTTTGGTGATGAAGAAGGAAAATAAATGAAAACTATGACAACGCTATCTCCCTTGTTGTTGTTATTAAGCTCAAAGATACACAATGGTGCTCACCGTGAGTATCGAAACTCGATTATTAGCGTTTAAGGCTTTATATTTACTGCTGAGTCACCAGGTGGCACTAATCTTCCTACAAAATGTCTTTGTTACATATCTGCTCGTTTGTTAATTTTCGGTATAAATTCTTTCTGAGGAACTTCAGCGATACAAGTCCTTTCTTAATTAAAATTTTCTCCATAAAACTTTTAGTAATACACAGAATTTCCACAGTCTCTTTAAACTTAACAACCTTTATAACACACGATATAAATCACAGTGATTCACACATTTTAATTATGGTGCCTACTGTTCGCTTGACTCAATTATCTAGCTCTTCAATCAGTCTATATCGCTTCAGTCCCGCTGGTTTTTCTCGCCAGGCTTATATACTAAAAAAGAGGGCGTCTAGAAACACTCGGATATTCGCGGGGTTCCTCGATAATTCATGATCCTTCGAGAAACTCCAGCGCTCATGCTCCCAGCGTCGCGCTGTCGTAACACTGCCCCTTCATTAGTATTGTTCGTCCCGAACAATAGCTACTTACATTATACCAATAGATAATTAACAATAACCTAATTAAATGTACAGAATTTACAAACACAAAATTAAAATTCAACAAAGTATTTTAATTTTACAGGACGTATCTTCTTCCATACTGGTCTCTGTCTCGTTGGCTTCTGCTTCACGTGGGGTTCATTTGCTCCATCAGGAAATGTCCCATTATCGGTAGCAGTCACATCAGTGGTAGTAACTTCATTAATGGCTTCACTATTTTCCTCCTAAAAACCGGGTATAGTTTCTTTTTCGACAGTGGCTTTTTCAGGTGACACATCTTTGTTCCAACTGAAATGTCCTGGACCGTGACAACGCCAGAGCCTGTTGCCATGCACCACCTTTGGCTTACCTCGCCGACCACATTTTATTCGGATAGTCACGTCTGAGAGACGATTCACTATGTCATATGGGCCTTTACATGGAGAAGACAACTTAGGAGACTTCCCTTTGGTCTTCCTGGGATTATACAACCACACCTAGTCTTCTGGTACGAAGCTGACTTCAGTAGATTTCTTAATAATAACATAGCTTCGTGGAATCAGTAGACGTTTTTAAGTTCGAACGCACTTGATGATGAATATCGTCCATCCTTTTAGATAACACTT